GGAAACAGGTAACTACTGCTGCTCAGAATTCATGTGTGGGGAACCTTCCTTCACTGTATATCTGAGTTTGAAGTAGATCTGGGATCCTTGATCTGGATTGTAGAGAACTGGAAGACCTAGAGCTCTTCCTTTAATATTTTGTATTTTGCTTGAATATTGTATAGCTCACGTAGCCTACAGTTTTCTTGGGTCATAGTTACCTATACATATTACATGTTTAAAAAAAAAAAAACCTTTTTCCCTCCCCACTTTCTCCTCCAATTCCTCCATCCCAGTTTTCATTCTTGCTGACATTATTTGTCTCAGTTCATGTTATTGATGTAGAAAAACTATAACTACCAAACTGCTTGGTATCAGATGTGCCCAGTTCCTGTCTTCTGAAATTGAAGAACGGATTTCAAAGGACAAAGGAGATTAGGAGTAAGATAGGTTTGTTGAGAAATAGAACCTGAGAGATACAGAGGAACTGGAAGTGGGTTGCCCCCAGGTCCTTTGTGAGGGATAATTTACTCAACAAAGTCATGATGTGGGTACGACATGGGTCAAACTATAACTACCTATTAGATTATAAGTATAGTCCATTAGTTAATATTGGTTCCATTGGAAAGTGGGTAGAAAAGAATAAAGGCATTTTGGGGAAGAGAAGGTTCCAGATGTTCTGGTCACCTGCCTGGGGGACTGATGAGAATCTGGACTTCCTGGGTCAGGTGGGGCTAAGTATAGTGTAATTTCATGTTCCTACTTACACCCTAGGGGGCATGTAGGCCTACTGCTGTCCAAATGGACCACTGGGCCCTGCTGACTGCCTTTCCCAGGGCTCCTTCTCAGTAGGCCTGCTGAGCTGTAGTAGGCCCACTGTGCCCCACTGGCTGCCCATCTTGCAGCTCCTTCCTGGTAGCACAAGTTTGGTTTAGCTCTGATATTTATTTTCTTGACTTTTTGTCTAGTTGATCTATGTATTTATGACAATGGGGTATTATGCTACTCCAATACACTTGCATTAGTGCTCATTTGATTTTTCACATCCATTAATATCTGTTTTTATATAGGTGGATTCCCTCATTTTGGGTGAATATATATTTATATTCTTCTTGGAGTTTTCCCTTAACAATATGTCATGCCCTTCTTTATCTCTTTTGGTCAGTCTTGACTTAATGTTCATATTTTGTATGAATAGTATAGCTACCCCTGCTTTTTTCTAATTTCTTGTCACATGAAGTATTGTTTTCCATCCTTTGAGTTTCAGTCTCTGAATTTCATTTTGAGTTAAATGTGTTCCTAGTATGCAGCATATTGTTCACTCTTGCTTATTAATCCATTCTACCAGACTCTCCTTTGATGGTGAATTGAGACCATTAACATTGATTGGTGTAACTCATATGTAAAGCTTTGTCTTTGCCATGTGTTTTTAATATTGATGGCTCCCTGTCACTCTCCTCTGTTTAATTGCTTGCCATGCCTGGTGGCTTCTGAATATTGGTACTCTTTAGTTCTTTGTTTTCTCTTTCTAGAAAGTCTTTCAGAGTTCTTTGTAAAGCTGGTTTGGTTGTCATGAATTTCTTCATTTGTTCATTTTATGGAAGTATTTTATGTCTACATTAATTCAGATAGATAATTTTTCAGGATACATCAATCTGGAACGTAAGTTGTTTTCTTTTTCAGAGTTTGAAATACTTCACTCCAAGTTCTCCTTGACTTACAAGAGCTTGTGTTGAGAAGTCTACTGTGATTTTGATGGGCTTTCTATATAGGTGACTTATTTCTTTTCTGTAGCTGTTCTAATATTCTGTTTTTGTGCTGAGTTTCTGGAATCTTTATTGTTACATGCCTTGGTATAGATTTGTTTTGCTCATGACTAATTGGAGTTCTATATACTTCATTTAACTGTATGTTAAATTTTTTGTCAGTATTTAGGATATTTTCTGCTGTTACTTCTCTGAACAGACTTTTTTTAAAAGATATTTGTGCTGAATCATGCATTTTGATTGATTCCAGTCAGTCTTATGTTATTCTTCTTTGCATTATCTACCAGGATTTGGATTGTGTTTTGATGGCCCCTTGAAATTTTTAATAGATCTTTCTTTTTGTAATCACTAATTATGATTCTATACTTTAAGTCTGATATTTTATCTTCACTTTCTTTCATAAAATTGTGCCAAATTCCAGTGGATTTTTTTTTCTTTTGGTGGAACCGGGGATTGAACTCAGGCCTTTGCACTTGCCAGGCAAGGGCTTGTTCTACTGAGCCATCTCCCCAGCCCCTTCAGTGAAATTTTAAACCTCCTGCTCACATATTTTAATCCATTGCATGGATTCCATTTCTTTCCTATGTTCTCCATTTATTGTTTCCATTACTTTTCTATGCTTCTGTATTTCTTTATCTGTGCCTATTCTAGATTTGCTAAGTAAGATCTTCATTTTCATCATCATCTCTTTTTTTTTACCTGAGTGTATTTCTGTTTTGATATCCTCTGTAGTCTAATATATGCATATGTTTTATTTCTTCTACTGTCATTCCATTGAATTCAGGTGGATGACTTCTGTTTTCCCTCTAACTCATTGTCCCTTGCATTTGTCATTTGTAGGCTGCAAGTCTGGGATTGCATTTTGTTTCTCTTTGTTTTTACTTCTGACTTTTTAATTTTAATTTGTTTTCTGTGTTACTGTTTGAAGTTTTTTTGTTGTTGTTCTTGTTGTTGTTGTTGTTGTTTTTGTTTTTTGTTTTTTGGGTTTTTTTGCGGAACTGGGAATTGAACTCAGGCCCTTGCACTTGCCAGGCAAGCACTTATTCTATGAGCCATCTCCTCAGCCCCAAAGTTTTCTTATGTTTGATAACATCATCCCTGGTATAAAAGCTTCTCTAGGAAAAGTCTTTAACTCTGATATATCTTCTAGGTCTAGCTGGCTGTTGTGGCTGTCCAAGGATCTTATCTTCCCACTTATTAGGGTTTATTTATTGTTATCTATCTGGCTCAGAAACTAGTCCTTTAGTACTGCCTATGGGGATGATTATGACCCAATCACCACAGTGTTAACATACAAGTGTGAAGAATAAATTATGAAAAATATGATTTCTTGTCTAAAGTAGTAAATCAGTAATAACAGTGCCATCAAGCATAGCATAGAAACTCATAATCTGTGGAGACTAACCACCATGGCAAGATATATAGTTATATAACAATTTCCAACCTAGACCAGACATTTGTATGTACTTGGTTTCCCCTTGGCAGGCTCATTCTATCCTCAGTGAAAAAGGAATTTTCAAGGAATAGCAGAGAAAACAGAGCAATAGTTGAAAAGATGTATATGAGAAGGAAGGCTGAGGGCAATCACCACGAATCTTGAGAAGCTGTAGAAAATGGCAAGAGAAAAAAATGAAGGGGAAATTGAAAGAACTTCAAGGCAAAACAGAAAGACTAGAGACAGCGTTCATTCAGCTATAAATCTATTTTATTTATTCCTTTGAAGAACTAACTCTTTGATTCATTGATTTTTTTTTTTAGTTTCTTAGTCTCAGTTGCATTGATTTCCACTCTCACCTTTAATATTTGCCTCCTTAATTTTGCACTGGCGATGATTCATTGTTTCACCTCAAGTATTTTAAGATTTCTCACGGTTATATATTTAAGTTTTCTCTATTTTCCTAGTATCACTTTTTTTTTTCAGAACTGGGGATTGAACTCAGGCCCTTACGCTTGCCAAGGAAGTGATTACTCTGCTGAGCCATCTCCCTGGCCCCTAGTATCATCATTGACTGCAGCAAATTTTACTCTTGAATTCACTTCAATACATACTTATGGGTTTCACTGAGTTGCATAGTCACTGTCATTAATTTCCAGATATTTTAAAATTTGTTATTTGACTTCTTTTCTGACTCCATTAGTTGCTTAGGCAATCCTTTGAGCTGGTCCTTTTACTTTATTTCTGAATCTATTTTGAAGGATATCTTTGATGAATTAGTTCATCTTGGATGGAAGTTATTTATTCAAAGGGTTTGCAATACTTCACTCCAAATTCTCTTGGCCTTTAGAGGTTGTGGTGAGAGTCTTCTGCGATTTCTAGTGATTTTACCTTTATGTGCAATTTTTTTTTATTGTTTTCTTGATCTGTTTTAAAATTCTGTTTCCCTAGATATCTGGTAATTTAATAAGGATGTTCCTTGATGAGCTTATATTTTGTCATAATTATTTAACATTCTATAGGTGTTGCTTACTTGTCTTTAACCTTTCTTAGAGACATGTACTTCCTCCTCTTCCTAAACTAAGAGTCTCACTGCTCTGCGGGATCCTGGGTGATGCTTTGCAACCTCCTAACCATCTCAGATGCAAAGGTAGATGGCATCTTATGTCCATCACAACCTGGAGAACCAATGCAACCCTGGCCAACACAGGGAAGGGAATTTCCATTCCATTCTTTTCTATTTAGAGTTTGCTCACCTTGAACATGTTCTTTCCATCTTTCCTTTAAAATCTGCATTTAAGACTATGATTAGGAAAGAGAAAGGACATGAAAAGGGTATCATATGAGACAATAAGTGAGTGGATAGGGGCCACAGAGATGGCTTAGTAGAATAAGCGCTTGCTTGGCAAGCACAAAGGCCGGAGTTCAATCCCTGGTTCTGAAAAAAAAAAAAAAAAGATACTATAAGTGAGTGGATATGAGCAAAATATGTTGTATACATTAAGCCTTCCACTCCCATATGAAACCAGTGGGGAAGTCAGGTGAGGGATCAATATGATCAATAGTTGTCATGTGTGTGTATCAAACTGACAAAATGAAACCCATTTTAACTGTGTAACTAATCTTTTTTAAAGAAAAAAAATTTCATATGACTGATTGGCATTCATCAAAGCTTTATTTAAAGTTTTGCACAAAGCTCTAGGGAAAAGGGACAATAAATAGCTTACGTGTTTTCTTCCTCTTCAATACCAGTAGCTGATAACCTCCTGTTCAACTCCTTTGATACACCGTGTCCTTCTCACGGAAAGCTAGGATCTCTAATGGCCCAAAAAGAACGTGAGTAGTAAATCATACAACAACTTGCAACCAGCTCTATCACACTTCACCAAGCACAGTATGATACAAGGCCCCATTTTCTCTGGTATAAGTATATTAGTTCTGGCTAAAGTCCCCAGAAATGTGTATGAGAAAATCTTGAGGCATTTAATTATTTGGTAATTTTCTGCATTAAAATTGCTTGTTTTGATTAAAAATATAATGAAAAGCATTAATACACTGTTGTCCAGATGAAATACTGGTCCTTTTTTTTTTTTTTACTACATAGATACTTCATCAAACAGAAGAAGCTAAATTCAAAAAAAAAAAATACTGATAGATTCTGGGGATAATGGATGTGTTTAGATTCTTTCTGAAATTTTCATCCACAAACTAGTGTGCCTTGTTTCCTTTTCTTTCTCCTCCTAGCCAACTTTTCTTAGAACAGTGTGCCTGCCCCAAGACTTCTGAAGTTGAAACTCTGAAAGTTAATTATAAGTTCACCTGTGTTTTGCATTTTTTTCTCATCTGACAGTTCAGGAGATTCCCAGACACTATGACATTCGTGATTCTCACCAGATGGTATGGGTCCTGCATGGAAATGTATTAATAACAGCTCCATCTAGCAACAACGTTGAGCCTGGTGAGTGGTATTCAAAGACACTGTTGCTCTTGGAGGGACCTCATGTCCCCTTGGGATAGATATAAGCCTGCATAAGCCCACCCTGATCCTCATCAGCTTCTGGGCACCAACATATTATCCAAAAAGAGGGCAAGTTTGGAGAAGTGACACCTCTCTTTCCAAAAAGTGTGGGCATCTATTGGTCTTTCAGTGTGATCCATTGTACCCTGGGAGAAACAGTGGCAGGAATGAGGAAAAGACAGACAAGAGGACAAAAGCTGGGTTAGGTGATAACTCCTTTGCCTGGTTGGCAAAACAACCTCCTGAACAATAGTAAGGGCCTTTATTTATACTTTTGCAAAGTTAGTAACAGGTGACACAAGGTTGCCTAGTGACTAATAGCCAACATTAACCAGTTAGGATGCTTATTACAGGACTGAGGTAGCTTGTCTGCTTTAGGCACTGAGGCCTAGGCCTGCTTTTACATATTTGACCAATTTTCCAGGTTCCATTGCTCCCAAAATATTCTCCTTTCTTGTTTTGTTGTGTCAGAGATGAGTGTTCCATTGCAGTTAGAGAACCTGTATTTAAAGAATCCTTTAGAAGACCTTGTTATACTTGGTGCCAGTCTAAAGATTTTTGGTACTTGAATTTAGCAATGTAACCCTAAGGTCCAATAGTCCATAATAGTAATGAGTTATCAGTACAGCTGGTAATTGTCAGAAGTTGCTATTGACTTGTGCCAATTTTCCAGCTTACCTGGCTCTCAGTACAAAAAAAAAAAAAAAAAAGCATCTTCCTGTTCAAAAAAGATTGTCTTGTCAAGCAATGGCTAACTTCTTTGGAGATTCTCTCCTTCAAAGTCCAACAATTACGACCTGTACCATTAGAAATTCAAGCTCCCTCATCTCTACCAGTAGACTACACTCTTGTCTGATTTGCTGTCTTCTCTTCCACTGATGCTTTTTCTTCTATCAAAAGTCAGTCTGTCTCACCTTCTTTCCCCTCCTCTCACACATCAGTGTTGCTCTAGTTTGTTTCTTCACTGTTTATTCCATCTGATCAACTGTGTTTCCCATCACTAGCACACATGCTCCAATACAACGTCTACGACTGTATTACCACAAGCTTGTCTTTATGCTCCCCTTATATTTCATTTACCATTCTACTTTTCTGTGTCAACCATCACTGAATTTCATCCGCATTTCACACGAGAGAGACTCACCCAGATTCTGTCTATTCCTACTCGTATTTACATTAAGCAATCTGGCTTGTAGACTGCTCTTCACTCCACTTTGAGTTCCACTACCCAAAGTTAGGGTTCAAAAACACAAATTCAAAGGACACTTCTCTGATCTCAGATTTCTTGATCATTCATTTACACCCTATGTGATTAATAAGTTCCCTTTTCCAGTACTCTCACTGTACTCTAGTGTGGTTGAGTGGCACCTATTTGTGGATTTCTTTCGTGAGATACTTGCTCATAGTAATACTTAGGAAAATGTAGCTGTACAAATCCCACATGATACTTGTATTGATATCGTATGGATCACAGTTTAAGCACATAGTTGTAAGTAGCTGCAATGTTTATAGCGTAATGTATTTTTACATTTGGGAAGTATCGTGTCCTGGTGAGCATTGAGGTTCTGCTATTAAGGAAAGAAGAGGAAATGAGTTGAAGAAAAGTGACAAAGCGTCTTGGCCATGTGGCTCCTGGGAAAAACCTCTGGGTGATGCTGTTGATGCTCAGTATCCCTTGGTTAGAAGTATCACTGGGTGTGAGGTCAGAGTACTGACTTCCTTCTGCTTGGATCCTTATATTTTCATTCATCCTTGTGTTTCCAGTCACGCTTCAGATAATAGCATGTAGAGACACAGAATACCAGGATAAAGAAAAAGGCAATCTGGTTTTCCTGGGAATCAAGGACAAAAATCTTACTTTGTCCTGCACAGAAACTGAGGGCAACCCTACTTTGCAGCTTAAGGTGAGTGGATGTGCAGCTACTGCAAGTCATAGCAAGTGAGCATTTTAATGTCACTTCAGGTATTGTGGAACTAAAGTGACATTTCTATAATCCTGAGTTTTTGCTACAAGGAAAGAAATTTGACTTTTCTAGTCCTCAAATTAGTAAGTGGTGCTACAGAATGGTCATAACACCCACCAAGAGGTTTTTGAAAAGCCAAGGAATGGTGGCTTCTTGGTCCTAATAAACTTCCACCTAAAAATCCTCTAAGACAATGAGATGCTGTCATTATGCAAAGGTAATGACATTGGGCAGATGAAGAGAGACTGCTTGTCTGGATTTAGCACACTTAGAGTTTTTATCCATGTGCTCTAAGGAAAATATATAGTAATACAAATAATACTACATCATGGATAGGAAGAACCGACAGTGTGAAAATGGCTATACTCTACAAAGAAGAAGCAGGACCTTGTGTCATGAAACCTTAGGGTGGAGCCAGGCTATTGAGAACTAGTACATGCCTATTTGCACAGTCCAGTCTCTTCCTCCTCCTCACTAACAAACCTGTTTTCTTATCCCAGGAGATCGGCATCATGGACCTGTACGGGGAGCAAACAGCACAAAAGCCTTTTCTATTTTTCCACAGTATGGAGGGCTCCACCTCTGCCTTTCAGTCTGTCTCCTGCCGTGATTGTTTTATAGCTAACTCCTCTGAGCCAAATCAACCCGTCTTCCTCACCAGAGAAAGGGGCTCAAATAACACCAATTTCTATTTAATTCTTAAGAATTAAATCCAGTCTGGGATGTGCATTGTGAATTCCAAGATAGAAGATCAGTCTTTTATTTTAAAATAGAGTAACTCATCTTAAGAGATCATGAGCCCTGAGGAGACCATCAGCATCTCAGCCTACCCTTCGCCCACCTCATTTTGACTGTCCCAACACTACCTCCTCCTGCAGATATTCATTTCTGCACCATGTCCCTCATTCGAACACCGTGTCAGTAGTAAGCCTAAGAGGCACTCTCATTCTTTGCTGAATTTTTGCACAACCTCTTTGTCTATCAAGTGTACATCAATCAACCTATCTGCTTTCCACATGACTGTTCAAGTTTTTGTGCCAAACCATGGCCTGAAAGGGGTTTCCCAAATATAGTTCACAGAACTGTATCAATAAAACAAAATTTTTTCCTTAATTTTAGACATGTTTGTATTGAATACTGAAACGTATATGCCAAAAAATAAATATAAAGAGCAAGATGAATAGAAACCAAAAATTTACATGCTTTGATAATAATGGTGGATTCATCATTCCTATATTAACAATTTGACACAAAGTATAATTGGAGACCCTGGAAGTGGGTTTCAATCTCTGGCTTGGGTTTCAGGAAACAAACAACAAGAGACTAAATAGAGGGGTGCATAGCAGGCCTCAGGGACCACCAGTTGCTCTTGAGTAATAAAAGGCCAGGAGCCACCCAGCACGCTGCTATTTATTTACTGAGGAGAAGAGTGAGGGGACAGCAAATGAACATGCCAGATGGGATGAGTGGCAACACTGGCAAGCTTTGTAGCAGAGGGAGAAAAGCATTTTTGTCAAGGGCACAACAAAAGCCTGATTTAGGTTAAAGTTAATGAGTAACCTGCTTGGTAGCCAACTCTGGGAAGGAATTTTACTCTGGAGTCATGCAGGCCTCATCAGGGATGCTATCCCATATCTCCGCCCTATGGTATCACAGCTCGACTAGCTGAGCTCAGCCACAGCTTTCGACAATAAACTACATGTTAGTCCACTATCACTCACCCACTTTTATCAAGATGTGTACCCAACCTCAGCCAGACTAACTGATTAAACTGAAAGAAGATTTAGGAATGTCATCTCTCTATGTACCACACTGAACATAAGTAAGCACAGTCACATTTGAGTATGGGTAAGGGTAACAGGGTGGTCGTCCACACAGCATATAATTTAGTTATGATTAAATGTTAAAATTGGTGCTTGTAAATCAATTCATATTCGAAAGAATCATTGATTGTACATTTGAAGCACTTGAAGGACCTCACCAAGGCTTGAGCAAAGGCTGGAGAGTGGGGCTAGGTGGATGGAGAGAGTGAGCAGAGACGCCAGAATGGGTGTGTCTGATGTTACTACATAGAGCCATTTCAGACCAACAGAACTGTATTGCCTCACATACAAGTGCAAGATTACATATCAAGATGCCTTGGGGATTTAACACTTTAGAGGACAAATTCTAGACAAATATTTAAGTAGTTGACTTGCTAAACAGTGTTCCTTTTTAGGCAATTTGCCATCCTACTCTCAATTTCTGTAAAACTTTAGATTTTTACCTATGAAATGCAGTCAACTTACCCCAAAATTCACCTCATAAAACACCTGCACACACACATACACACACATACACACACATGCACACACACACACACACATACATACATACACACATAGAGAAACACATAAAGACATTGATCTCATTTTGAATGAGAATAGGCAGCTCCTCAAATTAATGGTACTGTCTGTATTTTACTTGATTAAAGCATTGCAAATAGAAGCATCAACTATGATACTTTCTTAGCATTATTTTAATTTCTGGAACTTCAGTAGTTTATGTGACTTGTAGTTTCTTTATGGAGAAACTGTTAAATCGGCTGTTCATTTTTGTGAGTGTTACATTATGGAAAACCTGTAATCTGACCTGCAAATACAACACCCAAACACATGTAGCCTATAGTCATTATAAGAATGTGAACATAAATGAGCACTTGACAAGGACTCTTCCCTCAGAAGCACAGCTTTCCTGCACATGACAAGCAGAAGGATCAGGTCTTGCAATGAATGTCACTTTCTGAAGTTAGATTTCCAACCAGAAAAACTATGTGCCAAAACCTACCCTTCTTGAATAAGTTTAGGTTGCTTTACTGCCTGGGATACTGATGGGGACACCCCTTGACTCTTCTCCCATCACTCCTGCCCTCTGGTTAGCCTGTCCTTCTTGCTGTCATTTCTGGCTTTGAGAAGGTGTCATTTGACACCCTGTCATCCATAGCAGCTGCATGGAACATCAACACTAGCCTCGGGGCTCTTGGACAGCTGTGGAAGGGCACATGGGTCAATATACTCAAACAATGCACAGGACTAGAAGGGCCAAGAACTGGTCACTGGTCCACTGGGAATGCTTGACAAAGCTCTGTGGGAATGGATGCCTATCCTTCACATGGACAATTTTAAGTTGCTTTGTACTTGGTTGCCCTCAAGGGTCCCAGAAGAAGGAAGATTAAAAAGTAAAATCTTCAAATGATTCAAGTTACCTTTGGTCATATTATGGCCTTCTGTGGGTTCAGGAAAATGATGGGTTTTGTTTGGATCTAAGCTAGCAACTGGAGGAGGAGGCATAAGGGGACAGCTTCCAGTTGCATGGCAGGCTGAACCCAGGAGCTCCCTCTACTGGCTTTCTGCTATCCCTGTTTTAGGTCCCCAGTATCCTCTCCTGCCCTCTGGAGTCAACTTTCATCATCCAGTGTGCAAACTCTGGTCCCAGTCTTATATTTCTGGGGAGATGGATTCTGTCTAGGCAAACTTCCTTATGAGCCACACCCAATGTTGGGTTTAATCCCTCGATGGCTCTGCTCTACTGTGGCAAGCGTCACTGTGTATCTCCCACCTATACCTTCTTAATCACCTAAATCTCTCTCAAGTGATTAAAGGCACCTCCTCACTTTTTGGACCATTGGCAGCTGCTGCCCCTTAATATTATACCATGTCAGCCTTCTCATAAGACACTTCTTTTGTCAAATTTTGTGTTATGCTGGCCTCCTTTATAACAGTTACTCAAGAACTATTGTGGAAATTAATTCCCATTGCATATGTTACATCTTCCTATTGATACCAAAGCATGTCTGACAGGATCTGGTATTATCATCTCAGAGAAGAATCTCAACTTTAAGAAACATCAAAAGAACTGCCAAGCTCTTCAATTGGTTGGGGCATGAAAGCAGAGAAGGGTTTTCAGGCATTTTTTCCCCTTCACTTTATTGTCCTCTTCCCCATATGTCAATGTTGCTCTAAAGGCTGTGAGGATCTTGCTATGCACAGCAGAGAGTCTGTGGGTGTAGAAACAAAACATGGCCCAGAGGACACCCCAGGATACCAGTCAGTGTATACTGCCTTCTTCTCAGAGGTCTGTGGGCAGAGTGTGGGGGGTTGCACCTTGGCCAAGCCCCTCCACCCACAAAGCTGTTACACATGATAAAATTGTGCAGGGACACAGGAGGAAGAGGGTAGGGGATTCCCTGATTCAATTGTTTTCTCTGGCAAAAGTCAGGAATCAGTGCAAGAATATGGCAAGGAGGACCATAAGTTATTTGTAATGGCATTGTATTTGATACAT